ACCTGGGTGTCCTTGTGCATGAATCACAGAAGGTAGGTTTGCAGGTACAACAAGTAATTAGGAAGGCAAATGGAATTTTGTCCTTCATTGCTGAAGGGATTGAGATTAAAAGCAGAGAGGTTATGTTGCAGCTGTACAAGGTGCTGGTGAGGCCACACCTGGAGTGCTGTGTGCAGTTTTGGTCTCCTTACTTGAGAAAGGATGTACTGGCACTGGAGGGGGTGCAAAGGAGGTTCATTAGGTTGATTCCGGAGTTGAGGGGGTTGGCTTATGAGGGGAGACTGAGTAGATTGGGATTATATTCATTGGAATTCAAAAGATTGAGAGGGATCTTATAGAAACATATAAAATTATGAAGGGAATAGATAAGATAGAGGTAGAGAGGATGTTTCCACTGGCAGGTGAAGCTAGGACAAGAGGGCATAGCCTCAAGATTAGAGGGAACAGATTTAGGACTGAATTAAGAAGGAATTTCTTCACCCAGAGGATTGTTAATCTATGGAATTCCTTGCCCAGTGAAGTAGTTGACGCTACTTCAGTAAACGTTTTTAAAGATAAGGTAGATATTTTTTTGAACAATAAAGGAATGAAGGGATACGGTGAGAACGCGGGTAAGTGGATCTGAGTCCACGAAAGGATCAGCCATGATCTTACTGAATGGCGGAGCGGGCTCGAAGGGCCAGACGGCCTACTCCTGCTCCTAGCTCTTATGTTCTTATGCTCTAATCATAGAGTAATGCAGCATGGAAACAGGCCCTTCGGCCCAAACTGGTCCATGCTGACCATGGTGCCCACTCACCTAGTTCCAATTGTCCACATTTGGCCCATATCCCTCTAAACCCTTCCCATCCATGTACCGATCCAAATGTTTTTTAAATGTTGCTATTGTACCTGCCTCAACCACTTTCTCTGGCAGCCCATTCTATACACGCACCACTCTCTGTGTGAAGAAGTTGCTCCTCAGATCCTTCTTAAATATATCCCCTCTCACCTTAAACCTATGCCCTTCAGTTTTCAATTCCCCATCCCTGGGGAAAAAAAGGCTATATGCATTCATCCTATCTATGGCCCTCATGATTTTATACACTTCAAGAAGGTGTATTTGTATTTCTCTTTAAATCTATTTTTCATTGTCTTGTTCTTTGCTATTCTCCATCGCACTCTGTCTCTCTCTGTTGGTCTGTCTTTTCCCACCAGCTATGTGCACCTAGGAGATATGGTTTTGAGGTGCACAGCAACTGTGATATACTTGATGGAACTGACTAAAGGGTCTGAGTGAAATCCTCTTGTTCCGAATGGATTGAATTCAAGGTTTGCAGATGATTCAGAAGCAGATGCTGAAAATCAGAAATTAAAAACAGAAAATTCTGGAAGTTATCAGAATGTACGTGGAGAGAGAGACAGACAGGGATGACGTTTCAGATTGATGAAGGGTTGCTGGACTGAAACCTTTTTTTAATTTGTTCATTAATGGGATGAGGGCATTGCAAGCCAAGCAGTATTTATTGCCCATCCCTAATTGCCCAGAGGGCAGTTCAGAGTCAATCCTGTTGCTGTGGGTCTGGAGTCACATGTAGGCCAGACCAGGTAAGGATGGCAGTTTCCTTCCGTAAAGTGCATTAATGAACCAGACGGAAACCAAAAGAACTGCGGATGCTGTAAATCAGGAACAAAAACAAAGTTGCTGGAAAAGCTCAGCAGGTCTGGCAGCATCTGTGGAGGAGAAAACAGAGTTAACGTTTCGGGTCTGAGGAAGGGTCACCAGACCCAAAGCATTAACTCTGTTTTCTCCTCCACAGATGCTACCAGATGGGTTATTTTCCCAACAATCAATATCATTAGACTTGTAATTCTAGATGTTTTTATTGAATTCAAATTCCAACATTTGCAGCGATGGGATTTGAACCTGGGTCCTCAGAACATTATCTGAGTCTCTAGGTTAACATTCCAGCAATAATACCACTAGGCCATCGCTTCCCCATTTACTGATTGTTTCTACTTTTCCATGGCCTCAGAGCTGATGTCTCCCTTTTAGCTTCTGTTTCTCTGACAATTGAACTGTTCAAAATCTGAGCTCAAGAACTCCACACCATCGTTTCCCTGCCACCCTCCTCTCCTGGTCTTTAAGTTTTATGAGGTAGGGATTCCTGACCGCTGGGCCTGACCCCTCGATAGGAGAATGTGTGCAATGTACTTCACTGCCATGTTACTGCAGCCCCAGTCACTCTAAGTGTTCACCCTCACAGGTGGAAGAGTTAGTTCTGGTGGATGTTGATAACGGCACGGTCCTGACCACACAACACAAGGGCCTCGAGACCCCACACCTGCCCACGGCCGCCGTCGAAGAATTTTTGACCAGGTAAGGGGCTCACCTGAGCAACAAGGAAGTGGCACCTTGAGGCGTCTGGCTATTGACTGTCTGGAAATGTGTTGGGCTTGTTTTTTCCGAAGGGGTTGGTATTGATTACCCCCAGAGAGGGTCTTTGTTAAATGGGGTGGGTGAGACGAGGTGCGGATGAGGAATAAGATTGTTTTGGACCAGCAATGAGCTCAGATTGTAATGAAAGATGGTTAATATCCTTTAGGCGGGACTACATCAGTGTGCTGTTTAATCTGCTTACACAATGGTCTCGGGTCAATATCCCAGGTGTCATTAATAAAACAGAATCTCCTCAATCACCAGAGATGACATAAAGGGATGCATTTAGATCTGCAGAACTCCCAGGGGTTAATGAATCCAATCAGGAATTCAGGAGAAACACCTTTACCCAGAGAATGGAAATCTCATTGGAGTCTAGAAAAATGAGAGGTGACCTTATTGAACCAAGTAAGATTTTGAGGGAACTTGACAAGATGGATAAAGAGAGGATGTTGGCTCTGAATCCTCAGGACTAGGAGTACTATTTAAAATAAGGGGCTTCCCACTTAAGTCAGAGATGAGGAAGAATTTCATCCCTTTAGTATCTAGAACCTTGTTCGCCAGAGAGCAGTGCAGGGTGGGCTTTTGATTTTATTCGGCAGTTGAGTTCAATGATTTTTATCTGTAGGGGATTTGAAGGTCATGGAGGGCAGTCAGGAGAGTGGGGTTAACACCACAATCAGATCATTCATCATCTTAGTGAAGGGTGGGACAAGCTCAAGGGGCTGAGTAGCCTACTCTGGGGATATTCCTTCCGTTAGTCTGACCTGATCCAGGGTAGATTCAGGAAGGAATGTTCCCACAAACTGGGGGAGTCCTGGTGCATCGAGAGCTGGTGGGAGGTGTTTAATCTCAGGATAAGAGGTAAGCCACTGAAGAGTGAGATAAGGAGAAATTCCTTCACTCAGGGAAGGGTGAATCTTTGGAAATCTCAGTCCCAGAGAGATATGGGGATAGTGCAGGAAAATGGGGGAGAGGTCAATAATCAGCCATGATCTAGCAGGGCCAAAGGGCTGAATGGCTTACCACTGTGTTGTGTGTGGCTCTGAAGGGCTAATAATGAAGTTTCATTAGCTCCATCCAATTACAACACCTTTGGTTGGAGGCTGTTCAGCTCAACACCAGCATTTGAAGGGAGCAGATCTATTCTAGACAGCTCCAGAGAATCATGAAAAACTGCACATGATGAACAATTCTGCCTATCATGCAATAAACAATGTTGTTGACTAAGTCAAGGGTCTCGTCTGTTTAGACTCACAGTACTCTATTCTCCACCAGTGAAAATTAGACAGACCCGACACACAGAATAGAATCCAGGAGCATTGCGGGCAATGGGCTATATCAAACAACCCATACCCTGTGCCACACATTGGCAGTAGTGACAGATCATACCACATGCCAGAGTGATGATAGAGGGTAAACACCAAATTCTGTTGCCGGATGAAGCAATTCACCGGCATAGGGAGTTCTGGAAGTGAAGAGCACAGATATACTTAACAGGAAGTTAGATAGACAGGAGAGCAGAGGCTGTTGATAGGATGAGCTGGAATTGAGTGGCTGGAAGTTGGTGCATAGACAGAAACATTACCGAGGGCGGAACGTTCCCATTTCCTCCTGTACATTCTGGATCACTTTATGTAATTTCGAGCTGTTGGATTACTGAGAGGTGCATTAAGGTTCACCAGCATCAAAGAAAAAGAGGTTTACAGACTTTTGGTTTCAAGGGAAGACCCAGATAGTTTGCATTGTAACGAGGTCACATGCACACAATGGTCAATATTTCTCTGGTTAGGCTTAGGATTATTGAAATGGAGTTAAACCATTTGAGATCAGCCATGATCCAAAGGCACAATGTGCAGGCGAGGGGCTGAATGGCCTCCTTCTATACCTAGTTGTGATCTGCCATTGTCTTGAAATCAATACATGAAGATGTTGCTTCTTCAACCAGGTCATGAATATAATGTATAATTATCCACTGGTTGTCTCTTTAACCTCTGCACCCTGACTTTTGCAAGTGTGATGCCAGTTAGTGTTTGACCTCACTCCTGGTCTCTCTTGTGTTCCAGCACCCAGCAGCTTCAAGCAAATACTGAGCTGTCTTCAGCCCATCTGGCTTCCCACACTAACCTGGCAACAGCTCGAGAGAAGAAGCGCAGTCAGAGGCAACAAATGAACCGACAGCTTCGACAGATCTTCCTGCAGCTCATCGGGAACCTCCTCAGGTCAGCACCAAACACCGAAGGACCTGTCCCAGGGACTGTTCACTGGGAGGTGGGACAGGTGGATACATGGGGTGGTGGGAGAGGGAGGGTGGTTGTGGTCTGACAGGAGGTGGGCTGGTGGGAGAGAGGAGTGATCTTTCCTCTCATTAATGGTCTTCACCAATTTCCGAGCTTGCCACAGTCTCAGTGAGAAAGCAGCAAACAGCATCAGTGAGCCACCTGGAACATCAATGCTTTGTGAGCAATGACAATGTAATATATTCTTATCTCTCAAACTCACCAACAAGTGCCTTCACTGTCCCAATGTTATTTTGAACTCAGTATCTCCCCTGTACACCAACCTCACTATCCCTATTAGGGCGGCATGGTGGCACAGCACCAAGGACCTGGGCTCAATTCCAGCCTCACACAACTATCTGTGTAGCATCTGCATATTCTCCCTGTGTTCTGCTTGGGTTTCCTATGGGTGCTCTGGATTCCTCCAATGGTCCAAAGATGTGCAATTTAGGTGGATTGGCCGTGGGAAATGCAGTGTTATAGGATAGAGCAGTGGGTCAGTGTGGACTCGATGGGCCAAATAGCCTGCTTCCACACTGTAGGGATTCTACAATTCTAAAACAATCTGTAATTGCTGGAATTATGTATCCAGTCAGTTAGAGTTGGCAGCATTTCACTCCGTGAGCCCTCCAATACTGCAAAATAAACATGATCTCTAAATTTTCCAGATCTTGGAGGAAGAGTCACTGTATTCAATTAATGGGAAATTGTTCAGACTGTTTAACGAATCATTTCCATTGCTATAAGGATAATGCCATTCTCCTTTCCCTGAGAGTGTGGGACAGTTGGGCACTCGGAATTCATACTGGTTTAGTGTTATCATAGAACCCCTACAGTGTGGAAACAGGCCCTTCGGCCCAACAAGTCCACACCGACCCACAGAGCATCCCACCCAGACCCATTCCCCTATAAACCCACCTAATCTACACATCTCTGAACACTACGGGCAATTTAGCATGGCCAATCCACCTAACCTGCACATCTTTGGACTGTGGGAGGAAACCAGAGCACCTGGAGGAAACCCACGCAGACACGGGGAGAATGTGCAAACTCCACACAGATAGTCACCCAAGGCTGGAATTGAACCCAGGTCCCTGGTGCTGTGAGGCAGCAGTGCTAACCACTGAGCCACAGTGCCACCTCAATTGCTGAGTTCTGATCCTGCCTCCGAAAGGGGAAGCTATGGATCCAAGTCCTGTTCTGGAGACCCAAAGACAAGCCTGTCATCGGGTCCTCGAAAGTCAGTACTGACCAAGTGCTACAGCATGGGAGGCTGCTGTTGTTTGGGAGAGAGACTAAGGACAGGCCTTGTTTCTCTCTTTAGAAAGGGTGGGGGAGTTCTCTTCAACATCTTGTCCGATATATATACCTCAATCAATAGCAGAGAATCAACCAATGACCAGAAAAGACAAATTCTCTGGTCATTATCTCATTATTATTTGTGGGAGCTTGCTGTGCAAGGATTGATTATCAAATTTCCTGCCTTGCATGAAGGATTGCACTTAAAAAGTACTTCCTTGGCTGTGAAGCGCTTTGAGTCCTGTCCTGGTTCTGAAAGGCACTATATAAATGCACCTTTTGCTCTTGTTCACTCATCAAGACTCCCCAAGGCGCTGAAACTGACTGTGCTTCAACAGCATCTGTTAAATCATGGGGTCACTTTCCTGATGCATGCTCTTTCTCTGCCCAGGGACGTCTCCAAACATTTAAGTCTTAAGCACCGTGTGTTCAACAAGAAGGAATTTTTAGACTCGCGACAGCCGGCTTCGCAGCCTTTCTACAACAGTGTAAGTATCAGTCTATCAGCATTGGACTCTGTGACTGTTCATCAGCTCAGCGGTGCTGTTGCCGCTACTTCCCAAAGAAAACAAGCCTGAGCATAAAGTCTTAGTATCAGACTTCTCAGTGGATGTACTGAGACTACAGTTTATATCCCCTAGTTACAGAGTGCTGCAGAGACTAACAGCAGCATAATGTGTCTGACAGCTGTATAAACTGATCCTGTCCTTTATCTGTTTCACTGAGCACTTTGGACGTTCTCTACCTCTCACTTTTCACATTGAACATTGCCCCCAGAACAAGTCACCACAAGAGGTGTTTGTACAGTAGGAGAATTAGGAGCCGTAAGAAGTGCTTTATCTCAAAGTCACATGTTATGGGCTAGAGCCATTGTAAAATATATTTTAAAAGCTTAATGCATTTTTCAATTTACTTTTAAACTTTCAAAAATAATTGTAATGGTGACTGTCATCCTTTATGTAAGTATGTGTGTGTGTCAGTATCTGTGTCTGTATCAGGGAATGTGCCTATGTCTGTATCAGGAAGTGTGTCAGTATGTTTTTTCTTATTCATTCATGGGATGAGGGTGTTGCTGGTCAGGCAGTATTTATTGCCCATCCCTAATTGCCCAAAGTCAATCACATTGCTATGGGTTTGGAGTCACATGTAGGCCAGACCAGGTAAGGATGGCAGTTTCCTTCCCTAAAGGACATTAGTGAACCAGGTGGGTTTTTCCAACAATTGGCAATGGATTCATGGTCATTATTAGACTCTTAACTCCAGATATTTATTGAATTCAAATTCCACCATCTGCCGTGGTGGGATTCAAACCCGGGTCTCCAGAACGTTATCTGGGTGTCTGGATGAACAGTCCAGTGATAATGCCAATAGGTCATTGTCTCCCCTCTCATGTGTGAGTGTCAGTAATTTTGTGAGTGTGTTTGTGTCAGTAGGTGAATTCAGTATATGTATGTGTCAGGGTGTTTCAGTGTGAGTCCGTAAGTGTGTTCACTGGGTGGTTCAGTGTGTGTGTGTCAGAGTGTGCCAGTATGAGTATCAGTGAGTGTGTCAATAAGTGTTTCATTGAGTGTGGTTTGCTGTGCAAGTAACCATTCCGAAAAGGTTTCTGTTGGCCACTGCATTAAGCTCAGCCCAGGTTTGTGTGGGGCTGGGGCTGGGAGTAAGGCACAGCAACTCGGGGTCTGTGGGCTGCTGACCTGTAGTTTCCAGTCTCCTCATAGTCTTTGTAATGATGCCTACTGATCTAATGCAGCTTCTATGTAATGACGATGGTGTAAAAACTACATCTTGTAAAGACAAGAGTCTCTTCTTGTTTACATTCAACAGTGGCTGATCTTTTCTCACTGTGGGCCAATCAGGCCTTAGACCCAGTCAAGGGAAAGATGATTGGTGGCATCCTTCCATCCACAAATGCCACATGGTGATCACTGGTGGGCATCATTGTTTAATACAACAACTTACAGAAGTAAAGCAGTCTCTTGGAGCAAGGAGAAGAAGCTTCCAGAAGACCAAGAGATTTTATAATCTTAAAAGCACTGTCACTTTAAAAACTGCTCACTCAGACAGTCAGAAGTTGAGAGGTGCTTGAACAAACACAGTCAGTAAGGGCTTGTGAAAGGTCCCATTTGAGAACAAGCACTCCAAGCCTGGTCAGGAAGCACAGAACAAGCAGAGTGGACCAGAAAGAGCTGAAAGGCTACTACACCCTAGCACTCAGACAGTCCATTGGGGAAACGGGGCACGGTAGGAACTTTCTCGGTGGGAAATTCAACCAGGAAGTCAATATATCAGAGCTCTGAATAAATTTAAAAGTCCCTTTCAAGCAAGGGGGGCCAGTTTTAATTTAATGGAACAAGAAAACAGCCTGGGAAGGAGAGAAGTAAGAAAAATGGATTTACTGTTCACAATGAACATTGCCACCAGAACAGGTTGTCACCATGAGATATGGCTACTGTACAAAAATAAAGGGACGTTAGAAGTGCTTTCTCTCAAAGTCATAGCATCAGGAGCATTACAAAGCAAAATTAGGGTGACATAAAGGACAATTTATAAGTTAAAGCAGGTAGATAACACAAGAACAAAAACAGAAGTTGCTGGAAAAGCTCAGCAGGTCTGGCAGCATCTGTGAAGGAAAAAACAGAGTTAACGTTTCGAATCCGGTCACCGTTTCTCAGAACTCCCTTCCAGTTCTGAGGAAGGGTCACCAGACCCGAAACATTAACTCTGTTTTTGCCTTCACAGATGCTGCCAGAACTGCTGAGCTTTTCCAGCAACTTTGTTTTTGTTCCTGATTTACAGCATCCGCAGTTCTTTCGGTTTTTATTTAGATAACACAAGAAGATAGTTAAAGGATTTCTGAGACCATAATAGCAGCTTGTGATCTTTAATTTAAAATGTGGTTCTAACAAGAAGACTTTATTGAAGTTGTAGGTATAAGACTTTATTTTCTTTGATTTTCCCAAATAATTTACATCGGTCACGAGGGCGTGAAAAGCAGGAAATCCCGATATTGGCTGTAAGACCCTCAGTAAGTAGGACGGATCCTTAGGCAGCACCTTCCAAACCTATAAGTTCCCCTCCAAGCCACCCACCATCCTGACTTGGAAATATATCGCCGTTCCTTCAGTGTCGCTCCTGGAATTCCCACCCTAAGGGCATTGTGGGTCAACCTACAACAGGAGGACTGCAGCGGTTTAAGAAGACAGCTCACCCCCACCTTCTCAAGGGGCAACCAGGGAATGGGCAATAAATACAAACCCAGCCAGTGATGCCCACATTATTAAACAGAACTAAAAGTTTTGAAAGAAGGAAATTATGTCAGCATAGCCAAATGAACAGGTTAAAAGCTTTAAGACAAGGAAACTCAATGCCAAGCTTAGATTCTAGCAAGTCCCATTGGCCAATTGATCACCCCACTCGGGAGGTTTTACTTGAACAGACTGCCATTTGGATCGTCTCAAGTCTAGGAATTTTTCAACAGACTATCTCCAAGATTTAGAAGGACATAAGAATGACATATCGATAGCTGGGGAGATGGTCAAGGAACATAACAGTAATCAGGATCATTTTAAAATGGCTCAAGACTTCTTCACGGACACAGTGTTAGCAATGATGGAATAATGGCAGGCCCACAGTCAACAAGGGCCATTAAGGTACTTTTGCCTCAGTTGACAACAACAACTGAACTCTTGAGTCATGTCCTCAAGGAAACGCAGAAATGGAATCACTAATCACATCACAAAGATACTTTTCAAAATATCAAGGACTTGCCAAAGTCTACAGATATTCCTGTTGCTACAATCTGTCCTTTCCAACTTCCACAGCTGCAGCCTTAGGAACAGGGTTAGTTTAGAGGCAGTCAGGTGAGTGTCAGAATCCTGGGCACTCTGCCTCAAGAGCACAATCAGGTACAGAGACATGTCACTCAGTTAGAGAGAAAAACGCTGTCTTGGTCACATGCTGTACAAGAGATTTTCAGATAAACGTGCTACAGAGATGGGCCATAAACCATTGGTGTCCCTATTGGGTGAGAAACCATGTACAAGGACCTCTCCAGAGATTCTGACTCTGCCAAATGTGGTTTGCATGTGAGACAGAACGTGTGGAGGGAAAGCTACAGATGACAGTAAGTGTGCTGTTTAGTATAATGGCCTCCAGCTTATAATAAATACCGATGAACTTGCTGGTGAGATTGGATTGTAAACTCAGGCTATTGGGTTACAGTGGCCAGTGACCCAAATCAGACTCGATCAAACACAGCAGGAAGAGGAAGAGTGGACTGAGAATATTTATGGGTGTTGAGTCAATGGTAGGCCATAAGGATCTATTTCAAGCATCAACAGGATCTCCCAATTGTAGCTGCTTCACTGCTGTTCGCTGAAAGGCTGGTCATGCTGCAGTAAGTGATCTCACCGTTGATGCACCAGGGACACCAGAGGATTGACACGTGGGAGCCTGTGAATTGGAAAGCAGACTGACGGCCTTGTGGCTGACTGTGAAACACCTCCTAACTGCTGGCCTGGGCAGAGAGATTCACTGATCCCTACTATCTTAGATGACAAGGTGTAGAGCTGGATGAACACAGCAGGCCAAGCAGCATCAGAGGAGCAGGAAGGCTGACGTTTCGGGCCTGGACCCTTCTTCAGAAGGGTCTTCATTTCTGAAGAAGGGGCTAGGCCCAAAATGTCAGCTTCCTGCTCCTCTGATGCTGCTTGGCCTGCTGTGTTCATCCAGCTC